AAGCCGCTGGATTGCAGTGTGTCACTGGTATGTCGCAATATGACTTGAATCTCCAATTAAAACTCCTGCAGAGAAGTTTAAAAGCTTAACATTCCCTCAAACATCACACTAAAGTACAAGGTAGATTTATTCGTCACAATACAACAGGTTGTAAAGTGAAATTCAGTTTGTAACTCCCTTCTGCTATGTAGCAGACAATATACAGTAATATAAAAGCAATTGTAAAAATCGTTGACAGAAATCAACTAAATTCAGTGGAGCAGTGCTGAGGATGAATTTGAGCTTAAAAGTCTGATAGCTTGGGGGAAAAAGCTGCTCTGTGGTCTGGTGGTGCGGCAGCAGAAACTTCTAAATCTCTTCCCAGAAGGCAGCAGGGTGAACAGCCTGTGGCTGGGTGGGTGCTGTCGTTAAATATGCATAGGCACCTCACCCATATCACTGATGCTCGGGAGATGGGTACCAATGATCTTCTGAGTGATTTTAATCACCCGTTGCAGAGCCCTCTGGTCCTGGGCCGTGCACATCCCATGTTAGTTTGTGATGTTTTCAGTCAGGATTCTTTCTATTGCTTCTCTGTAAAAGCTGACAAGAACTTGCCGTGGGAATTCGGCCTTCTTAAGCCTCCTAGAGAAATACAGTCGTTTCTGAGCTTTCTTCACCAGCGTGGAGATGACCATGTCAGGTTCGCTGTGATGCTGATTCCCAGGAACCTGAAACTGTTCACCTGCTCCACCTCAGCTCCACCGATGTAGACAGGAGTGTGTGTCTTTAACTCCTCCTTCCTAAAATCAACGATCAGCTCCTTGGGTTTGCTGACGTTGTGCAGTAGGTTGTTCTCTGAGCACCACTCTGAAAGATTATCAATTTCTTCCTGATATGATCATCGGTGGGCAGGTGATTTTAGCCTTTGTTGACATTAAGGCAGGAAGTTATACAATCACACACTCCCATGCACTTTTGTCTGTAGGAAGCTCTTCCCTAATCTGAACTTAACCCAAATTTCTTAAACTTTGCAAAGAACATTTTTGCTTGAAATGTGTAAAACGTTTTCATAAGACCGCAAGTTCAAAAACACACATGCATGCTCTCTGTCGCTCTCTCTCTCTCTCGCTCACACAGTCACTCACACATACTCTCATCTCATACACACTTCAGCCGTGCCACTGTTGGCTTAGTCATTTGTGCATAACATGTTACAGTGTACCCTTTCCTGTCCTCTCCACCTTTTTCCTCCTTCACTCTCACTTTCTGTCTTATCTCCTACTGTCATCCTCTTCCTCTCTGTCACGCTCCACCTCTTCACACCTCTCTCTCTCTCTCTCTCTCTGCCCTTGTCTCCCCGTCTGACCACCTACTGAAAAATGAGAAAAATTGCCTTTTCGTTCACCTGCAGTTTTCTTTTCCATCCATCTTAATCCACTCAATCTTTCCTTTCAAATATTTCACTGTCTCTCTCTCTCTTTTTTTCACTTCTGCCTCTAGCTTTGTTCTCCACATCCCATTTATGGCGCTTTGGTCTTACTTTTCCACAACACAGCAGTACACGAAAATGTGCGTGTGTGTGCGCGCTTGTGTGTGTGTTTGAGATAAGTAAGAAAGGCCACTCAGTTGATTATCTGGGACCACAGGATTCATTTTATTCAACCCGCCTTTGTTCTGAATACAACACACACACACACACACACACACACACACACACACACACACAGAGTCTGCCGTTCCCCCTCTTTGTCTTTAATCTTCAGATGATGATGAGAGTGCTGCTGGGTTGTGACCCAAAGTTGTCATGGTGACAGATGACTGTTGACATCAAACCCAGGGGATGATGTTTGTGTGTTTGTCTTGCATATGTGCGTGTTTGTGTTGTGCATATGAAAAAAGAATGTGTTTTTTTTAATGAATACTACTTTACTATGATTGTTAAAATCTTACTCTGGCATGTAAAGGCACATGAACAACCTTACCTAAAATTTAAGGCAAGATAGTCTCGTTCTAAATGATACTTGATAAATGATACCAAACTGTGAACTGAAACTGAATCAATACTAATACAGCTAAAATGAGATATGCAAAGTGCAGAATTTTTAGCACTTGGGTTCACAATAAAATTTAAATAAATTCACTCTATTCTCTGTTTTTCACTCCATCCACTCCTCATAATGGTGCTGTGTGTGCGCCTGCGTGCACGTCAAGTATTTACACGAGTGTGTTTGTTCAGACAATAATGTCTACTCAGTCAGCGCGGATGTTGAGGTAGTTCTTCTCTCTTTCCCAGGACGGACTCATGCTTTCAGGGCAAGAATCAACCTGGCGTCTGCTGGAGGTGGCTCTACCTAGACTGGAAGCACTGAAAGCAAAGTCAGGTATCCTTTACCACCAAGATCCACTAAGCATTGTCATCATCCATCATCGGCTTTATTGTGGGATGTTGATTAAATAAGCAGTGGTCTCTCCACTGCCAACATTTCATAAGCACTGTGTTGTGACTGATAGGAGTGTTCCACATTTCAGAGATTCAGGTCTTGATGGCTGACATGCTGTTATCCCAATAGACTTCTTTGAAATAATGAGAACTCAGTTTTACTGCTGTATGTAACATCCCCTAGACAACAGTCAACAATAGCAAGCAGCTGGTTTGAGTCGGGTGGTATATACTGTGTAAATCAAGTTACCAAAAAATTGTAATCAATGAATAGTATGCGAAAACACAAATTATAAGTGTGAAAGATGTGTTTAAGTGATACTCTGCAGCAGAGAAGCCAGATTTTTAGGAGTTCACTCACGAAGGTCTAAGATCATGACCTAATGTACAAACAGTAGTTTCAGAGAGTATCAGTGTTTCTACTTAGGGATAATCCCAGACATTCGATGGAGGTTAAGACTTAGGTCCTGATTTAGAAAATAAATTACACTCAAATATATGTGGTTTGTGGTGCAGTGCAAATGCGTACTGTTCTTTCATGTACATAAATATGCCCTTTAACAGCTTCCATTATGAAACAACAGAGTGGAGGGAAGGTGACATACATTAAATAAGCATGTATCTAAGCATAATCCTCAAAGCTTAACCCTTTTAGCAAAATGATATCAACAGATTTACATAGAACTTTTCCTTAAGTGACCCTCTAGGTTGGCAAACACTGCTTGAGAGCTGTAGTCATCTGTTATCAACTGTTGGTAGTGACGTGCCTGATGAAAACCTGTATAAGCTCAGGATGACCGACATGGCTCTAGATGCCTCCATTCACCTGGGACAATGGGAGGAAGCTGTGCGATATGGGAGGAAAACGCTTCCAGTGTACAGGTGAGTTAGAGTGCGTGCGTGGGTGTGAGAGCCGGACAAGAAATTTAAATGTGTGTGTGTGTTTGAGGTAGAACAAACTAAAAATGTATAAGATTCACCCGTGGATGGCTTATATGTATGTATATTTACTTCCTCTCCCTCTAAATCTGGATATGCATTTGGATTGAGGGACTTTCTCCTTCCTGAATCTAGCGTGGAAAGCAATGTGAGGAAAAGGACAAGAGTAACTCATCCAGAGTGCATCCGAAGTGCAACTCCCTTAGTTCAGGCAGACTTGTATAACTGTCTTTACCAATGTGGATTATTACTTCAAAGTTATTACTTCAAAGATTTGAGCTGCTACTCAATCCTGGTGCTTTCATAGTCATCACGAGGCTTCCAGATTTAATCATATTTTAGAACAAGCTCCATCTTTTTTTAACTCTGAAAGAAAGGAGGCGATTCTCGGACAGATTACCTGGGATAAATAGTAAGATAAATATTATAGTGATCTATTTAGATAACAAAAAATGGATCCTTTGCTTGTTTTTGAGTTTGAACTGCAGAATGAGCACTGAAAGCAGTGACTGAGTGAGACTGAGGAGATTTCACAATGTGCCAGATTTAACTGTTTGACCTGATAAAGGAGATGATGATATCCTTCTGTTATCTTTGTGGACAGGAAATTAATCTCAACAGGGTTGGTTTACAAAGTTAGTATAAAGCAGACATGATAGAGGGGAAAAGATTTAGAGGAAAATTTTAGGGTTCACGTTGTAATCAGTGGTGGCTTAGTGAGCTCAACATTGCAATTTTAGAAATTACAGAAAATGTGCAAAACACAAGCAAATAAGTAAAAAATCTCCAGCACAATGCCAACACATGCGTCACATTTTGAAAAAAACCTTTGGTCCACCGTAGCTCTATCTGCTTTGACATATTATAGATTAGATTTTTGAGACATTTTAAATCTGTGTTGGCTGGTTTCTTATCATCATGTTTTGTGGACAGGCGTCAGAGTCATGTGTTTAACATTTTTATAGAATCCTTTTGTATATTTGAGAAAAATCCTCAACTCATGTTAAAAATATAATCCACAGAGTTGTATTTGGAAAGCCTTTCAATTGAGCCACTTACCTAGCTAAATGTCAAATCTCTGATGTCTGTGATATGTGATATCTGGGCTGTTAAACCAACATCATGTTTTTCCCAACATCAGTTGAAGTTAGGAACTAAAAGTACAAGATTTAATGATGATGTTGCAAGAAAGGAATAAAACAGTAGAGAGGAGAAATTCAAGGAGAAGTAAAGGGAAAAGTGGTGACAGTCCAAAGCGAGCACATTTATAAAAGAGAGAAGATAAAAGTTAAGCACGTAGTGCGCAGCAAAGAAAAAGGTATAGGGACAGGAGTAGATGAAGGGAGATCACAAGAGCACACGTAACTAACGGATATAAAAGAATCTCTTAATAAATGTACTTCATATTTAAGGGGGAAATTACTGAAATAAACCGATTGTATAGTTAGATATAAAAAGTCCAGAATTTTAGCTTAAGTTAGCAAATTGTATCAACAGTTTTAATTTCCTTACACATCCGTACCTTCTTGTATGTGTGTGTGTGTGTGTGTGTGTGTGTGTGTGTGTGTGTGTGTGTGTGTGTGTGTTTGTGTGCGTAGGACTAATCGATCTTGTGTTAAGGGCAGAGCTCTAGTGGCAGAGTTGTGCTCTCTCACACACAGAACAACACATCCACAGGAGAGGAACAATAATACAGCCTATCAATAAATAAGGAGACACAGAGCAGCAGAAGGAGAGAGGTGATGAGGAGAGAAGGGGATGGAGAGATTGGTGTCATTTGAAAGAAACTGAGAAAAATGTGTCTCTAGGAAGCTGAAGCGAAACCAAAGTGAGGGATGGGGTTTTTAGAGTGAGACCAGAGAGAGGGGTTAGGTGAGGATGGAAGTGAGAGAGGAGGTGTAAGCTGGTGAGAAATGACAAATGAGAAAGGAGGGCAGAGGAATAGTAGGCAGAAATGAATGAAGGGACAGAATCTCAAGGAAGAGGGGAGATGTACAATAAGAGGAATGCACTGGGGAGACAACAATGAAAGAAAAAGGAGAGCATTCAGGAGAAAAAAGTGAGCGATAGAGAGTGGGAGGAGGATCTTCCATATTCATCTTTTCCATCTTCCTCTGGGCTCTTCAGATGGCAGGGAAGAAAGATAGCTGCAGGAGTTCTCTATCTCTCTCTTCCCCTGTCCTTCCCCTCATTCTGTATTCCTTTCTTCTTTTACTCTCTCTGCTGGTCTTTTTTTTTTCAGTTTCTCTATTCAGTTTGTGATGTATAGAGAGGGTTTTTCCCTGCGCCTGTGTGCGAATAATGCACGCCCGCTGCAGGCTGTACATGCAAGGTTTATTGAATGTCTCCATGCTGCACATAGTTTACTCATAGACATGCTCACACACACACCCACATTCATGAATATGTGAATGTACAAGTGGAGCTCCAGCCTGAAACACTGTGTAAAAACAGCTACTTTGATTTATGTTGCCTCTCTGGACACATTTTGTGTTGTTTTTTTCCCCCCTTGTTTCTGTAGGTAACCGCCCAAACAGAGAAGATGTGACATCCCATTAAGATTAGCAAGGCAGCACTAATAGAGAGTAACAGCTAAAACTCAGCAAGTACGGCTTCATAATTTTCTGGGGTTTTCAGAAAAAAACAGCAAAGACTTCTCTCTAGATGCACAGTTTTGCAACAACATTCAACATTCAGCATTTTTATATAGACAAATCTCTTGAATAATATTTCTCCATCGACAGTGGCCTCAGTAGACCGGCGAAGTGCACCCACGTTGTCAGTCTTCATGGATCTGTTGGTGGAAGGATTTGAAATACAAAGTTTTTTAAAATCAGCACCATTACAGAACAGTTTTTTCCATCCTCTGGTGGAGACAGCAGTACTTTGACGAAATGTCTGACAGAAGTAGAATAATAATACACTAGTGTTGTGAACCAACAGTGTGGATTTGTGCATTTTATATCAAATAAATTTGGACTACTACAAATTCTTTCTCTCTCCCTGGGAGAAAGAAAAGGAGGGATGAGATATCAACTCAACAGACAGCCGAAGCGACTCCAAGGAAGAGGTGAAAGGTTTCTCTCCCTAAGTGCTGTTTCTGGGCAGTCTGATCGTAAAACTGGCCACCTTTGGCAGCCGCCGTGATTAGCCTCGGCGACTGACTGTTAAAATGACAAAGGAACACTGACCAGAGATTAGCGTTTTCCTGAACAGCCTATCAAAACTCTTCGTAAGACAGGGTAGGAAACCCTAAACTGGTCTCCTCAAGACTCAAAAGTTACCTTGTTTAATTACATTTTTCAGTTACTCAACTAGGTCTCCCCATTCCATTTTAGTAGTACCATGTTGTTGTTGTTGCTATTTGTCATTGAAAAGAATCTAAATAAGTTAATTTTGCAGTGTTGTAATTTTCAGCAAGGTCACCTGACTTTATTCATTTTATATGTAACCAATGCTTTGTTCACGATACCTTCTGACACATCTTTTAGAAATGATGATAAAGAAATGTCATCCTATACTCGATTAATTTTCCAGCTCAAATTTAAGGTTAAATTCCCCAGCTCCTGAGAAGACTGTGTTAGGATTAATCAGAGCTATCCTCATGTAACCCGAGCTCCCCCAAGTGGACAAAATAAGTATTGCATGCAATCGTCTGCTAATGCTAGCCTCAAAGTTGAACTACTGACAATTGTTTGCTTTTTATCAAGTGCTTAAACTAAGAACGGTATAACCATTTGGCAATTAAGGTTTGATTGTGGGAAGATATTTGATTAAAATACGCGCAAATAGATTTTCGATTAGACATATTGAAAGTTAAGAAGACAGTCTCTCAGGCAAACCGAAGACAAGCCCTCACTCCCTCGCCCCAACAGACAAAACAGCGACACACGCGCTTGTTCACTCTCTCTTGTCTTCTGTTTGTTCCTGGCTCTCCAACGGCGCTTCGGCACGCGCCCAGCGTGCCCCTCTCCCGGCAACGCCCCAAGCAGCTCACAACAAAGCCCTTTGTTTGTTTTCAAGCCACAGGCGAAGCGCCGCGACATCGATTTTTCCCTTGTTCCTAGCAACTTTACTTGTTGTTTTATTTTCTTTGGTTTTTGTTTTGTTAAAAGTTATCAGTCTCTTAAGTTACACTAGTTTTAATTCAAGAACGACCAAGTGCTTTTTAATCCTTATCCGTCGATCCTGGGCGAACGGAATATCGGGTGGTGCCCCTCGAGAGATTTATGGATGGAATGGATGGATTAAAATTCATAATTTGGTATTAATTCTCATAAATTTATTAAAACAATGTAGACATGCTACACTAGTTGAGAAGAAGAAGGCAGACTTGCATGAGAGGTTGTGATCAACCTGCCACAAAGGTTGGGAGCCACTGGTTGTAGATTACAGGTGGCCTGGTGTTAATAGACCTAATGCTGATTGTAAACTGTCAAAAGTGCCAGAAGAAGAACAATGTCTGCACTTAAGCAGTGTTATTCTAAACAGGTCGATGCAAGTGAGGACGCTGGCGTGTGTGTCGCCGCTTCACAAATCACGGTTTTTCACAAAACTTGAGTCATTAAGCTTCTTTGAGTTTAATGTCCAGACAACTAGGATAAGGTGTGTTTTTGGATCAGCAAATATCTGTATTGCCAACTGTTGCTCGGCACAACTGCGGCTCTGTAGCCTAACGTTATTCACCCATGCCGGCTAGCTGTCAGGTGTCTGCCCCGACTAGTGATCCACCATGGACAAACAATCTGGGATTATCTTTTCCGGTACCACCGACTGGATAACTCTCTGCCGTGAAACCTGCATTATCGACTATTCTGCCTCGTCTTCACTGCAACGCTGTTGATGTGGTTAAACGTTGGATGCATCCTCTCCGGGCCCCTGTCTTCGGCAGCTAAGCTAGCTGGTGCTTCCTCATACCATCATGTCGCTAATTAAATACTCTT